CACAAAAGCAGTCAAACATTTCATCCAGCGACGTGAACGGAGCATTAGGGGGCCTGCTAGCATTCGTAAAGTGCCAAAAGGGGACGAGCGCATCCTTAGGATCCCGGCTGACCTAGACGACACGAGTGGATTTCTTGAAATTGAGGGAAAATATTCAATTCATTTGTTTATTAATTTTCTGATATTTGAGGTTTGATCTATTTTTGAAGAACAGTTATTATAACCAGCAACTTTAATTTGGGTTTTTTTTGGGGTTATAGGCTCTATTTTACTCGTGTAAAATTAGGAATCAAGAACGGAAAGAATCAAGATCGGGTCGGTTGTGAAGGATACGCGTTGGTTGTGAAGGATACGGATTGGTTGTGGAGGTTACGAATTGATTGTTAAGATTACGGGTTGATTGTGGAGGTTACGGGTTGGTTTGTGTTGATTGTTAAGGTTACGTGTTGGTTGTTAATGTTACGGATTGATTGTTAAGGTTACGGAGTTGGTACATAAAGCCTATAAAGTTTGATACGTAAACGTACTCGTCCTCTTGATTCATTCAAAGCCTCTGACCAGATTCTTCACGTGAGCCTGCAATAGTTACTAGTACTCCTCAACAGTACTCGTTACATCCACTATTTGATATTAGTCCATCAAATCTTTGGTATTCCTAAATAAATCCTTTAAATCATTGAAATGGCTCTAATCAGAAAATTAAGTCACGTAGCTATTTTAGATCTGGACCCTTAATTCATAAAGCTGTCATTATGTAACTCAATTCTCATAATGGGCGAACTAATTTCAAAGTAAACTCAATTTACAATCAACCCGTAACCTCCACATAAATCTGGACCCTTAATAATATACGCTTTATGTACCAACTCGAAGGATACGGATTGGTTGTGGAGGTTACGAATTGATTGTTAAGATTACGGGTTGATTGTGGAGGTTACGGGTTGGTTTGTGGAGGTTACGTGTTGGTTGTTAAGTTTACGGACTGATTGTTAAGGTTACGTGTTGGTTGTTAATGTTACGGATTGATTGTTATGGTTACGGGTTGGTTTGTGGAGGTTACGAATTGATTGTTAAGATTACGGGTTGATTGTGGAGGTTACGGGTTGGTTTGTGGAGGTTACGTGTTGGTTGTGGAGGTTACGGGTTGATTGTTAAGTTTACGGATTGATTGTTAAGGTTACGTGTTGGTTGTTAATGTTACGGATTGATTGTTAAGGTTACGGGTTGGTTTGTGGAGGTTACGAGTTGGTTGGTACATAAAGCCTATATTATTAAACACGGAGAATAAAAAGGTTGCGAGTTGATTGTTAATGCTAAGCTAACATTGCACATAGAGAGTAGCATTATTGTGCCTCGTTTAACGCCCTATATGTGATGCCAATGTTTAATGCCCGCACAAGGGAATCCGGTTCATTAGCTTATTGGGTCTTGTTAGATATTTGTCCCCTAAACCTTGTGAAGTTTGAGGTTAGCCCCTCTGATCGTTGAAACTTCTACAAGATCCCCCAGTTTTCATAGTTTACTTTGAAATTAGTTCGCCCATTATGAGAATTGAGTTACATAATGACAGCTTTATGAATTAAGGGCCCAGATCTAAAATAGCTACATGACTTAATTTTCTGATTAGAGCCATTTCAATGATTTAAAGGATTTATTTAGGAATACCAAAGATTTGATGGACTAATATCAAATAGTGGATGTAACGAGTACTGTTGAGGAGTACTAGTAACTATTGCAGGCTCACGTGAAGAATCTGGTCAGAGGCTTTGAATGAATCAAGAGGACGAGTACGTTTACGTATCAAACTTTATAGGCTTTATGTACCAACTCCGTAACCTTAACAATCAATCCGTAACATTAACAACCAACACGTAACCTTAACAATCAACCCGTAACCTCCACAACCAACATGTAACCTCCACAAACCAACCCGTAACCTTAACAATCAATCCGTAAACTTAACAATCAACCTGTAACCTCCACAACCAACACGTAACCTCCACAAACCAACCCGTAACCTCCACAATCAACCCGTAATCTTAACAATCAATTCGTAACCTCCACAACCAATCTGTATCCTTCACAACCAACGCGTATCCTTCACAACCGACCCGATCTTGATTCTTTCCGTTCTTGATTCCTAATTTTACACGAGTAAAATAGAGCCTATAACCCCAAAAAAACCCAAATTAAAGTTGCTGGTTATAATAACTGTTCTTCAAAAATAGATCAAACCTCAAATATCAGAAAATTAATAAACAAATGAATTGAATATTTTCCCTCAATTTCAAGAAATCCACTCGTGTCGTCTAGGTCAGCCGGGATCCTAAGGATGCGCTCGTCCCCTTTTGGCACTTTACGAATGCTAGCAGGCCCCCTAATGCTCCGTTCACGTCGCTGGATGAAATGTTTGACCGCTTTTGTGAGGGTGGGTACCTGGTTCGATATGGGACCATCAGATGGAATACAAGAAGGAGAGCATGAAAAGGCCTTGGCAGTGCCACGTCGCGTGCCCTGAGCTCGTCCAAATCAACTCCTTTGAGTGGAAAGCCGCTCTCGAGCTCTGCTCTCTTGTTGTTGTACTCTGCCGCCTTGGGACGAGCTCCTCCTGCACGTGGTCGGAGAGGCGGCCGGAGCCGGACTGGACGAGCTCGAGAGCACGTGGTAGGGTTTTTCGAGGATGATGGACCTGAGGGATTGGGTTGGGGACGGAGGCGAGGGGTCGAGCGGAGGTCGTGCTGGGATCGGCGGTGGACATGACGGATCTCGGCGAGCGGAGGCGAGGGGTCGAGGCGCGAGACCGGAGAGGAGCTTCGGCCGCCACGAGGGTTGTGGAAGGGACGGAGGGGGCTAGGGCAAAAATGGTGGGGGAAGGAGAGCAGAGGGATTGCATGGTGAGAAAGAGAATGGGCATTATAGTCTTTACCTGTGTAAAATTCTTGGGCTTTGTGTTTTGGGGGCTCAGTGCATAGTTATTATGAATTTGGGGGTTTTGAGAGCGTTGAAAAAGTCTTGGGAGGGGGAAGCATACTTATTACGAATTTGGGGGCTGGAAGCATTTTTCCCTTATATTTATTATGAGAAAACATGAATAATTATTAGGGTAAATTTCACAAAATCCCCGTTAAGTTTTGCTATTTTTGGGATAACACTCTAAACAATTTAGAAATGTTACTTAATGTACCCCCATTAACTTTTACCAGATAATAATCTCTCTAACTGACGGTATCAGACCAGATTATGTACCTAAAAATCATGTGCGTACAAATGGTTAAAATGTGTCTGATGGAAATAAACTTCTTCCACGTTCTTTCTAATAATTTTAAAAGTAATTTTCACAGAACCTCTTTAAGTTTGGTCCAATTTTGACCAAAATGCCGCTCATTAATTAGGGGTGGGCCGTTTATATGGAGCGAATCTATACACACATGTAAATGAGTTGGATTCATGAATATATATATCTACTAGGATTTCATGATTATACAGTGTACGAAGGTTTCCAGTTATAGATTCTGGATTCATTGTCTTGCCCAAAGTATTTGTCGTCTATTCGATGTATTTGACAATGGATCTTATCTATAAATTGAGAGGGATTGATTAGAAAATACAATGACAAATCATTCCTTTTGTACTAATTAATTTGTTTCATGTTTTTGCACTTTTTGAGTTTACAAAATGTTTCATCAAGGGGCAAAGGTTCTAGTTCCGGTTGCTGCAGCAGGATGAGCAGCGGACTTATTGATCGTATGAAGCTCAGAGTTCAATCCCACATGAAGAAAAGAATGCATGGAACCACAGCAGGAGTCGGTGATCCGGTACGTAAAACAAACTTTAGTTGTTCATATTGTTTTTTGAGATTGATATACTAGTTCAAATTAAAATTTGTGACTGGCAATTTTTTGCCTATACATAAAGTTGTTACTCATTCAGACTTCAATCATGCTAACTGAAGGAATTTCCATCTTCTCATTCTCATTTCCTGGCAGTTTAGAAGTTAAATATACAAGTAAAGTCATGCAATTTAGGTGGATATTTTTACACATTACGTAAAACACGCGCATTAATAGGAAACTATTTTCTTTTCATCGATGAAAAGGATTAGGATTTGAATATGATCTGTTGAATTACAAAGGAAAAATAATATTGTCCATGAGTTGTTCTGTTGCATTCCAACCTTATTGACCATATAATTTTGCATATGTAGTTGTAGTATTATGTGGAGGAAAAGACAGGAAAAAGGCTTTGGTTCGAGAAAGGAAGTCCAGAGATACCTACAGAAGATGAAGACCATAACAAGTCCCCAAACTAAACTGCTGCTTGAAGATCACAGGTTAATTTCAGTCCAGAAGACAGAAGAGAATAAGAACCAGAAGAAGCAGTGTTGTTTCCTATTTTTGTCAAATTTCGGTTTCTTTATGTATTTTGGCTAAAATCCTAAAAGTATGGGTCTTGTATGCCTATGATTTCTTGAGAACCAGAAGAAAAGTTGCAAATGGTAGAGGTAGGGTTGTAAAGAAAAACCGATAACGGAAAATCCTAGGACTTGTGCGAAACTCTTCTGAGATCGAGGGGAGGGTTTTCTTGCGGTGATCTTGAAGAACTCAGAAAATGACATATCTTTGTAATATTTGAAAAATAAAAGGGGACACAAATCTCTTCTCGTGGATGTAGGCGGTTGCTGAACCACGTAAACTTGCTTCTCCTTTATGTTATTTTAAATTTCATGATTATTTGTTAATTAAATCCATTATCGTCAAAGGGCCTATATCACTACAAATTAATATTTTGCCCCATAAACAAATTCAAAATGAGAACTATAACTTTTGTTAGGACGGAGTAACCAATGCTTCAAACTTGCAACGGTTGCAACAGCTTTTGTTTTTATTAGTTATACCAAGGGTCTGGATGCAGACTCTTTAATAGAGTACAGTAATTAGCATCCAAAACTGAACAAACTCCTATATGTTTGGTTTGTTGCAAATTGTCCTCACCTGCCTTGAGGCTACTCAAGGTCTCTCCTATATCAAGTTATACGCTTTGAGCTCTAGCATATTGCTCTCCTTTTTCAAGTAAGTAGTCCTCAAGAGAAATTGCTGAACTTCCCTTTTCCTTCAAGTTATCTGATGTACTGTATTTTTTTATTAATATGTGCAGTGGGGTCTGAAATGGTGATGGTGGGTGATATTCCTTTTCCTCTTGAGATCACAACCACAAAGCCTTTGCCTCTTATAGGAAGGGGTATGAATTTCTTTCTTTGTTTCTTTTTTTTTTTAAGGGTGAGGTGTTATTATTAATAGAACAATTATACACTGTGTTGGTGGAAATGGTTTAAATAATATGAGGGAAGAGTTTGGTAATTAAGCCGTGTTTGATGGTCATGTTTGATCCTTTTTTAAGTGCATAATACGTTCAATTAGGTTATAGTAATTTGATTGGGTAGAGTTTTCAATTAAATCTAATCTCTATGAGAACCAATCCATAAAAGAAACGCCTACAGCTAAAACACAATCTGATCCAAAGTTTAAACTTATAAGGTCTAGATTAAGCTTCATGCTTTTCCTTTTTTTTTCATTCAATCACAATATGAGGAGCAATTTATTGCACCTGAACCAATGAATTAATGCTTATATATGTGGTTTACTTTAATTATGTGCAGGCATTACAGATATTGAGATCCATTTCCTCCAAATTAAGCACAATGCAATTGGAATTTATTGTGACGAAAGTATTGCTGATCATTTAGGAAATTGGAAGGGGAAGAAGGAAAGGGAGCTCATTAGCGATGATTGTTTCTTTGATGCTCTTGTATCAGGTGAGGGTGATACCTTCACCTATTCGTAACTTTTCAAGATTTCATGTCGGATTCATTTTGAGCCATTTCTATTGAATCATTGTAACTAGCGATTGTTGGTGAAATTACTAACTTGTATTCATGGATTCATATTGAACCATTCTAACGAGTATAGGTTCATGCAGCACCTGTAGAAAAATATTTCAGAGTTGTGGTGATCAAGGAAATAAAAGGAGCCCAGTTTGGTGTTCAAATTGAAACTGCTTTGAGAGATCGATTGGTATCTGCCGATAAATATGAAGATGACGAAGAGGCAGAATTAGAGAAGATTGTTGAGTTTTTCCAAACTCCATACTTCAAAAAGGGTTCGGTGGTCACCTTCTACTTCCCTGAAAATACTCCCACTGCAGAGGTATGGCTTGTTAATTTGTATTCATTGTTTGGGTTTTTAGTGAAGATAACGTGAAGTTTTAGCGAAGATAACATGAAGTTTTGTTTAATTTTGAGTTGAGAATTTGCAGATGTCATACGTGATTGAAGAGAAAGATGAAGCGAAGATTAAGGTGGGGAATGCAAATGTGGCTGAAATGATTCGGAGATGGTATTTGGGTGGGTCTATAGCAGTGTCTCCAAGCACTGTGCAAAGCTTGGCTGAGAAATTTGAAACCATTTTATCTTCTGCTTAGACTTTCCATGTTCATATGGTTGACTTATAAGTTTCTCAATGCTAAGATGTAGGAGTCTTAAAGTGAACAGACTACAATTATGTATTTGGATGTTTCAAGTACCTTATTGTTACAATGTTACCCAATAAATTATCTAGCTTTGTGAATGTATGGGAGTCATCTGAGAAGTAATATAAGCTTGGATCCAATTCTTGAGTTTTTCTACTGAGTAAAAGTGTAAAAAACATACAATTAAATTGGACAAGCATGCTAGCATTGGGGGATCTAACACTAATTATTATTATTATTATTATTATTATTATTTGTGTGCGCGCGCGTGTAAGAGTAAAGCAGACACTTAGTCACTATTTTGTGTAAATCTCGGTTCAAGCACAAATCACCAACAAGTTAACGAATGTTTTCTTATGGTTACCTGTTGTACATAACTGTGAAGTCTAATTCCTTAAGTTCTCAAAAGAGGAGGGTATAAGATTAGAAGTAACTTAAGAAAATGCCTTGAGATATAATTTAAAGCTAGAGATGGAAAAGGCTTTAGCTTGATAATTTATATACCATATCAATTTAATAAAAATAGTAAATTTAAATTTAACACTCTTTACAAATTTGGGGCCAACTAAAGTACAACTCTTTGGTTGCAAGGAAGTTTTGGTCCTCTGCTTGGGATGTCATACTCTTTTTTGGAATCCAAAGTCAAAAAAGAAAATCATCTTATGACATGATAATTGTTAAAGTATAAAATTATAAGCTTGGATACTCAGCATAATTTTAAAGCTCTAGTGCACATGATATTTTGACTTGGTACCACACAACCAAGATTCAAATATAATTTACCACAAATTCCTAAATCAGATTTTTTAAAGGGCCCTTGCTCTGTTGAGGGCATTAGTAGAGTAAAGTATTATAACTCTTAGTATTAACTTTTTAACCGTACGATCACATGGAGATTAATGCAAAGAGATTTAGTTAACAGATTAATTGGTGAATAGTGACAAGTGTATTACTCTATTTGTACTATTTTGACAGACGAATTAATTGATGAGTAGTAATAAGTATATTACTCTATTTGTACTATTTTGCCACTACCACCTATAAAAGAGTGGAGTCACATAAATTTGTGGTGTCACTCGGCTTTGATAATAGTTATAATCCCCACTATGCTGCTTTAATTCTTTTTAGGGTGGTGACTAGTGACATCACCCTCTACTACGCAACTCTGCCGCTGCCTCAATTTACATAACTGTGACGTGTAATTCCTTAAATTCTCAAAATATTAAAGATATATGGGGCTAATTAAAGCACAACTCTTATAGTTGCAAGGAAGTTTTAATTCAGTATGTTTTACAAAATAGCGGATGATATTGAGAACTCGTTAGTCCTCTTCTTAGGACATCATACATTTTTTTGGGAACCAATTAAAAAAACACTTTCCAAAGTTTTAATTGTTAAATTTAAAATTGTAATCTTGAGGGCTTGGTATAACTTTAGGCCCTATTTGTCAAGGGGTTAAGAAAAAGATTAAGAGGGTCTAAATCATCCTTAACCATCCAAACGGGTTAACTTAGTCAAAAGATAAATAAACCCTTTACAAGGGTTATAGTTAGTCAGCCCCTCATTTAGAGAGGTTAACAAATCCGCCTGAAGAGCATAATCTAGAATTACTCGTTTTTGAAATAAGAAATGAAACTTTAAAAAGAATATACTCTAAAATATTTATGACAATTAGCCTCCTTAGCCCTTCTTTATTTGCTAAACACAAAAAACATAATCCTTCATCTTGACTATCGGATCCAAATGGAATTGATTTTATTTTAACCTCCATGAAGGGTTAAGTACGCAATCAAATTTATTTTAACTTCCCACAAATGGTTAACTAAGTTAGTCCTTCGGCTAGACCATTTTTCCTTAACCCATTGCCAAATGGCACCTTAGAGTTTTAGTGCATTTGTAGGATTCTTTGACTTGGTACTACAATAATCGAGATTTAAATTTAACTAGCCACGAATTTCTAAGGCAAATTTTTTTTTAAAGGATCCTCATCTGACAAGGGAATTTTTTTTTGGAGATAAATCTGACAAGTGTGTATTAGAGTATAAGATTGTAAATCTTAGTCCTCTCTACAACTTCAAATTTTTTATTCCACAGCAAAATCCTTTAATATAATGATTTTGATGACGAGTTAACCGAGTTAATACTTCTTTTTAATGATGTGCTTGGCAACTTAGTAAAATTAGGTCAAACTTGTTCCTTAAACTGGTTTTGCATAGAACGGTCTAATTGTGGGTCAATTCCCCCGATCCACAATTAAACTAGTTTAGAGTAAGGATAGTATACGATCGAATCTAATCAAATACTAAGTATTTGTTAAAATACTCGAATTCAAAACCCTAATTCGATTATCCATATCTCAAGTTTTTCGAATTCGAACTCGAATATTTAGTATTTAATAAATATTCACGAATATTCACATATATTTATCTAATATCAAAGTATATTCATTCCACTAAAGAATTTGATTTTCAAATAGTATTTAAATTTATAAATAAAAAAATTTCCATTATAATTATGATGTATATATTTTAATTTATATTTTTTATTAGAAAACTGAATTATGAATATTATTTAAGTCTCTTAAAATTAGCATACAGAACTTAAGTAGAAATAGTAAGTAGGATGAAAATATAACCTCGTGTGATATTATACAAATTGCAAGAGATCAAACTTTAAATGAATATTTAATAAGCAAACTAATCAAAATACATCTAGTTAAAATTTATTCATTAATGAACTCAAATACTAAAAAAAATATTTATTTAGTGTCGCTTGAATCACCCAATTGAATCACCCAATCAAATAAAACCAAATAGTTACTCTAATAGTTAACGAACGATTTGTTGATTATTTGATTCATTTTCACCCCTAGCTTACAGACCAAAAAATAAATTAAAGTAATATGTTTCACTTATAGCTCAATTTTTAGCGATTAACAAAACAGCCTAAAACTAGACCAGGTTCAAACCTAGCCCAATTTTAGAGAATTGTGAAACATACACTAACTCTCATCTTTTAAACTCTTGATGAACAACACCAAGAATTTATAAATAAGATATCCAGAAATTATTAGATGATAGTTATCTTGATGGAGATTGTATTCTGTTGACAACTTAGTCCACATCTAATCTTCTTTGCATTACTGTAATTGAACCTCAAGATCATCATTATCTGTTGTAATCTATTATTGATTGCTTAGAACATTATTGTTTGAATGGACATTAAAAAAAACAATAACCTAGAATCTTCACTTTTTTAATTTCCTCCTTTGACATGGCATCTCTATATCGTATTTCCTATTTACTTTCTTTCTTTTCACGTATTAATTTTTTACTTGACATTATTGTAATTTGAATAGACTTTTAAAAAACCCTATAACCTAGAATCTTCACTTATTTTTGCCCCCTGTGACTTGGCATCTCTATATCATATTTCCTATTACTTTCTTTCTTTTCATCTATTAATTTTCTAAACATTTATTGCTTCCGAACTTTGGTGCTTTATTTTCCAAACATTCTTTCTTATGATTTGCTTGATATTGTTAACACTCAATTTACAAATTGTTCTCCTTTTAAGAAGAAGAACTCAAAATAAATTAAGCCAAGAAAACCATGAAAATTAACAAGAATAAAGTAAAAAACCATGAAAAGGAAAAATAGGGAACTTCATCGGACTCTGAGCTCCTAATTATTTATGAGCAATTACCTAAAAAGTTACCTTCGGATCAAAGCCAAACAACTTAAGAGTAATGATTTTTTCAGAAATTTTGTCATGATGTCTATTAGGCTATGTCCAAAAAGCCTGCCGTCCGGACCCGCCTAGGTCCGGCCGGCCACGGCCCGCGCCCGGCCGAAAATCCGGGCTTGACCGGGTTTCGGGCCTGGGTACGCGTGCCTCAGCGGCGCCCTGCCCGGGTCGGCCCGCGCCCGGAATAGCGCCGGCGCCAGGCAAAAATCCGAGCCGGGCAACAGCCGGGCTCGGAGCCCGGCCCTGTGGCAACGGTCCCATAGGTGATCGTTGCCAAAATAGGCGGGCCGGGCCATGCAGGTGGCAACGGTCTCCCTAAGTGACCGTTGCCCAAATAGGTCGGGCCGGCCGGGCTAGCCGGCCCGGCACAACGGTCACGAGAGTGACCGTTGTGGCCAAAAATGGCTGCGCGCCGGCGTCAGGGCCAGCCCGTCCCCGGCCACAACGTTCATAAACGGTTCTTTTGATTGTTTTGTCCCCAAAAACGGTAAAAAAAACGACTATTTTGTGAGGTTATTTTGGTCATTTGTTTAGGTGACTGGCTCTATAAATAGAGGGGGGTTTTTATTTATTTTCTTCATACCAAAACTCATCTACTTTTCTCTTATACTCTTATACTCTCTTATACTCTTATAGTTTATAATCCTTTCATCAAATGGCTTCCGGATCTGATTATGAAGAGCAAAACCTATCTCCCGATCTTGAAATAAGTCCTCCTACTGGGTCTACTCCTACCAAAGTTAATCTCGAATCCGGTGGCGATGAATCTGCACCAAGAGCTCCTAAAAGGCCAAGATCGGATGTGTGGAATTTTTACGAGAAGATCGACGTCACCAAGGATGAACACGGTAGGATCCTCACCCAGAAGGCTAAGTGTGCATTGTGCGGCAAGATTTTTCAAGCTCATCATAAGAGCAGCACCAACCACCTCAAACGTCACTTAGATAAACACAACAAAGACCAGACTCCTCAAGGTGATATCCGACAATCTTTGATTTCTCAATCTTCCTCTACTGGTAGTCTCGGTAGTTGGAACTATGATGCTGTCAGGGCCAGGAAATGCGTAATTAGGTTTATCATTCTTAAAAACCTTCCTTTTAAATTAGTAGAAGATGATGAATTTGAAGATATGTTTAGAGATGGTTTTTATCCTGCATTTAAAAAATTTTCTCGTCAAACCTGTTAACGTGATATTTTAAAATATTATCAGGAGGAACAAGGAAAAATAATTTCTTATTTTAAAAATTTAAACTGTAAATTTTCTTTAACTTCTGATATTTGGACATCTAGAGCACAAACTGGATATTTATGTATCACAGCACACTGGATTGATGAAAATTGGCAAATATTTAAAAGAGTTCTTTCTTTTATTGTAATAGAAGAGTCACATACTGGTATTAATGTTGCAAATTTAATAATTGAAGAACTTATGAAATTAGAAATTTCAGAAAGAATATTTTCTCTTTCACTAGATAATGCAAGTAATAACAATGTAGCTGTTGATTTTATCATATCAACTCTGTCATTACCATGTCATGGTGATCTTTTTCATATTAGGTGTATCTGTCATATTTTAAATTTAATTGTTCAAAGTGCATTTACTGAAATTAAACCCATGATAGAAAAGGTTAGAACAGTTGCTTATATGCATAATACTTCTGAACAAAGACTTAAAAGATGGAAACAATCTTGTAAAAGAAAAAAAATATAGAGCCCAGACTAGTTCCAAAAGATGTTGACCATAGGTGGAATTCCACCTATGCAATGTTAAGTGTAGCAATATGTTAGGCGCAGAGTCACGCCCACCGCCGCGGAAGCGATATCACCTGAGAGATAGCCCTGGCTTTTGTTGTCCCAAAAGCACAAGTCAATCTCTATATTCTTGTTTCTCAAAGGAAACGAGAATAGATAGTGAAATTCTTATTTCTCAATGGAAACAAGAATCAAAAGTGATATATTTCATCAAAGTAAAATATACACTCTTCCTCTCATCAGCTCTAAGACCGAATATTGAGGGAACCTACAAGCAATAGCCAACACCCAGAAAACAATAAATACACGAGATTTACGTGGTTCGGCAAACTTGCCTATGTCCACGGGAGGGGTGAGGGGAGATTCCACTATGAGAAGAACACCGACAACTTGTACAATCCACAAGCTCGTCTCTAAGAAAAAAAATCTAATTTTTACCCAAAAGAAATAAACCTCTCTTTTGTAAAATCTCTTTTTTTTTCTTCTCCTCAAAAAACTACCCCAATTACCTATGCTCAGCCGCCAAAAGAAACAAAAAACCTCTCTGCCTTTTTCTCTTTCCGCAGACTTTTCCCACACACTGTTCCCGCACAAAAAACCCTAGATGATAAATACATAGGTATTTATACATAGTGATGAGGTTATAAAATGAAACTTGGGCCTGTTTTTACCCGCTGGACTCGGTGCCCATAGAGTACACGTGATTTGTGCCAGGCTGGCACACGCACGTTCACACAATAGAATATAAAAGCATTATAACTGATTTTATAAATTATTATGCTTCTAGTTCTAGTTCTGGTAGCACTTATGGAATAACTGAAGATGAATGGACAATTATATGTAATTTAAATGAAATGTTATAAGTTTTTTATGATGCTACAATGTTATTATCTGACTGTTATTATCCAACCATTACTTTAGCTGCTTTACAAATTTTAAATATTCAAAAAAAAATTGGGAAATATCGTATGGAAGATACTTTTGGACCTATGATTTTTCAAATGGAGAGCAAATTTAATAAGTACTTTAGGTATATTCCTCATATTTTTGGTTTGGGGGTTCTTATTGATCCATGCTTGAAGGATATTGGCCTTCGAAGTTTGTCACAATCCTTGTATGGTAATCAGATTATAGACTTAGATGATGGAACCACCCTTACTGCTACTACTCATCATTTAGCTATTAGAAATTATTTTCAAACCTTATATGATGAGTATGCAGCTAGACATGGTGTAGCTACACAACAGTCTACAGCTTCGGTTTCTTCGAACTCATCCCGAGGTAAAAGTATAAGTTTTGATAGGTATGCAATGGTAGCTGAGTTAACTGGTGGCTCTGGACTTGGATCGTCATCATTGAAGGTTTCTGAAATAGATGAATATTTATCTGCTTCTTTAGTTAAATGTCAAGGAAATGATTTAGATATTTTACAATGGTGGAAATTATATGGATCAGTTTCAAATCATATACTTTCCACCATGGTTCGTGACTTACTAACAGTGCATGTTTCGACGGTAGCTTCGGAATCCGCCTTCAGCACAGCAGGACGTTTGATCGACGACCACAGGACATGCTTAGATTCGTATACTGTACAAGCGGTGATGTGCTTATAAGATTGGTGGATGTACGAGAATCGAATGCAAGGCATCGATCGGATGGCTGGAATTGAAGATAAATTTGAAGAATTAGGACTAGCAGATAGATATAAAGAATAAATAATATTCATCAAATTGTAATTTTTATATCTTAGCTTAAAATTTGTAAAGAATTATTTTGGAAATAGTTACAAATGATAGTGATATAGGTGAGTAGGTGCCAACCTAGTTGGAATGTACTTATCTATTGTGATGCGATGAATTCCAAAATAAATTTATACTTATAATTTGTAAATAATTTATTAATTATTAATAAAGAATTTATTTTTATAATTTTTATTTTGTAATTTATGTCATTTTAAGTGATTAATAAAATTATTGTTTTTTATTATTTTTTTTTGTCTTTTTTTATAATTTAAATTTTAAATAGAATTAAAAAAAAAGAAAATAAACCGGGCCGGCTCGGAACCCGGCCCGGTCGGGCCCGGGCCTGGCCCGGGGTACTGCCCGGCCCGGGCC